GATCCACAGCCGGTGATTTATGACCATCCATCTCAGCTTCATACTTCTACCCTCGTCTGTCTTCATTAGAGCTCTCAGCGTGGCTCAGAGTGCCGCTGTTGCTCGGGCGAAAAGCTAAAAGTTGATTAGCCAATCATTAACGACTACCAGGCAGCACAGGAATAAACGACAGATCTGGAAAACACCTCGTCTTCTTGTTTCCTCCGGGGAACCGAGAAGGATGGATTTCCCGTTCTCCTGATTCAGTCAACTAGCTCTTTATCCTCCTTCCTTTCCTTATACTCGTTCTGCACACACACTGCACTGCTGTCTATTTGGCTGCTAAAAACAGGCTATACAACTGTTCAACGGGCTGTTTTATGTAACGCCAAACCTGTTACATATAATACAATAATGGAAAAGCTCAAAAATACAAAACAAAAACTAACTGAAGCTCAGGATTCAGAGCAGGTCACCTGCTGATCTGAAGGTTGGTGCTTCAATCCCCATTTGCTCAAATCTGTCTGCAAAGATACTTATAACCCCAAGTTTGCTTTCTGATGCCTCGATCGGAGTTTGAATGTTGGATAGAAACACTTTGAGTGCTCAGTTTGAGTAGAAAAGCACTAGACAAAACCCAGTCCATATTTATATTTATATACTGTATGTTGTATCCTTTCTTTTATAAGCACAGTTGTTTATGTGCAGGTCGTGGTGCATGTCTCTATAGGTGTTTTCACACACCTATAGAAAAGGTCATCGATGTTAAACCAGTGAGGCCATCAAGATATCAGTGCAGACACTGATAGAAAAATACAAGGAAGTAGCTGCGACTGGGACTTATGGTCCAAACATGTTACCAGTAATGAGACCACGACCTAAAACACTGAAAGACATCAACAGCGCTCACTTAATCCTGGATTTCTGCCAATCACTGCGGCACATTTTCCTTGGACAACAACATTTAATACAAATCAAATGATCGTTTATTACAGAGGAGGGAAGTACACAATTAGAAACCTTAAATTTAATATAGAGTTACAATAATAAGTAAAAATAGGCTGAAAATAAACAATAGAGAAGAACATGTGAATAAAATCTGCACATACCAAGCATAAAACACAGCGAGAGACGGTGAAGGCTGTAACATTCAAATAATGTCTTAATGCATTCAAGGTTACAGGTTAATGTACACCAGTGTGCACTATTTAAAGATGTTCCCACATCAAAAACAGGAAATTAAAAAGAAAAAAAAATTAAAGTTAACAGCGTGGCTCACAGCCCGCTCTGAATAAAAGCAGAGCAGCGTGTCTGTGCTCACATCGGTGCTAAACACTGAGTTAGCTTAGTAACTTAAATTCATACACAGGGTAGTGTGCCTTTAATTTATTTTATTTATACAAATAAGAGATTTGCTTCGATCAGCAGCACTCTGGCTGGAAAAACAGAAAAAATAAGAAGCTTCGCATCAAGTAGAAACAGACTGCATGGTGACAGCATGTTTTGATGTACGTTCTGAGATCTATTAGCAAGTCTACACAGTGTTTATTAATCCTTGTATGACCTGACATCTAAGCAGCAAGTTTTATACAATAAACTTTCACAAAACACATAAAATAATCACAGATTTTCCCTCCAACTCACATCAACCATTAATTCTAACAAAAAACCTTCATTTTTTCTTTTTGCTTTTCACACTATAAAAACCGTAAATGAGTCATTTTTATATTTTCTCAAATTCTTAGATAAAAAAAGAAATGATGGACATTTCAGATAAACCTATTGGGTCTGTTGAACCAATTTGATAAATAAACTAAATTCAGCTAAAATTCCTTCATAATCAGCATCTTGCTTTAAAAAATGCCTGTCTTTGGATTGTGGGAGAAAGCTGGAAACAAACACTAACACAGTTAAGCTTCTTTGTCCTTTGGCTGGTTGAGAAAGATATGAGGGGAAAAAGCCAAACAAAGGAACATCAACACTGCACATCATCCTGTGCCAACACCAACATGGTTAATGCTGATTATAGCAAT